GTTGCTGTTGGGGTTGGGGTTGTTGTTGGGATTGGGGTTGGGGTAGGGCTAGGGCTAGGGCTAGGGGGGCTCGGGCTGGGGCTCGGGATTCGAGTCGAACGATCGTCGATTATTGTGGTGTTTCGCCCTGAAACAGAATCGAATGTGTCAACGTTGGAAACACATAGATTTCGGCAACTACCTTGATGATGAATCGCGTACGTTATTAATTGGGAATCATTTCAGCGAAAACAGAGAACCCTTACAGACACACAGTGGATAATTTCTAGACCGGCAATGACAAGATGTTAGAAGCGTTCAGATAACCTTGTCAGTCATGTGGCAAATGTACCGAATGACTCGTTTTTCGGCAGCTCCCGCGTCCAATCACGCCTGCCCGTTCCGCCGAACTGAGTTGCCAGCTCCACTTATTCGCTGCACCGGAAACTCTCTTCAGCAAGAGCCGAACTATTATAAAAATAAAATACTGGGGTTTTACAACTCCTGGAATGTTTAGGTTTTAAACTGACAGAGTTTGTAATATTTTCTTGGCGCGCAGACGTCAAATTCACAGTACTACAGCCTACCTGCTTTCTTTTCTTCCATATTTCAGCCCCAGGATAACTCACGACTCACGACACGAATACAAAACACAGACGTTGTCTCATTTTTGTTTCCACATTTCAAAACTAGAGTGTTGATTTTTCACAGTTCATACTTGCCTTCATCGCGGCTGCTGTCAGGCGTGTGTGAGACGAACCCGATGAGGATGCACAGGACGACCGCGACGAGCAGAGTCACACAACCGATCGCCGCAATTATCCTTGAGCGAGGTGCGCCCGAACATAACTCGACTGCAAAGACCACAAGACACGGGGGCCAAAGGAATAGACACGTCGTTTTCATGACAATTATTTGGGTTGGACGGTTTTTTCTTTTCCTTCCGCATACTTTTCACAGACAATCTCCCAGGCGTCTTTGATGCGCCGGCCGTGTCCCCGGCGGTGCCGTCTGGCTGCTCGTCGTCGGGGAGGTGCAAGTCCTGGACGCCTGCCGGCGGCACGCCGGGGACGTGCAGGTCGTCGCCGGGCGCCGGCTGCAGGGCGGCGAGGTGCAGGTCCTGGACGACGGGCGGCAGCACGATGGCGGGGAGGTGTCGGTCGTGGTCGGCGGTCGCCAGGGCGGCGTGTCTGCCGTTCGGGTACGCCACCGTGACGTGGCTGCCAGGGGCCATGTGGATGTGCGTAGTGCCGATGTACACCTCCGAGGAGTTCTCCACCGCGATGTCCCCGAACGACATGGGCGTCGTCGCCAGGGCCTGGATGGGCCCGGCCTCGGACACCTCGCCGCCGCTGTCTGCGCTGCTGCTGCTCCAGGTGTCGTCGCTGTCCGCGGCCCCATCGCAGCGCTCGACGAGGCCGTCGCCGAGCAGCTGTCCGCGGAGGGCGAGGCTGCCGCCCGGCTCCGGTCGGAGCGGTGCGGACGGCGGGGGCAGCATGGCCACATTTTACGCAAGATTGTCCGTGGACTACACGCCTCAGGCCCCTCGGCTTGAAGTGGTCATGGGCTGCGACCGAACTGGACGGCGATCCAGGTGGTCCAGGTTTACACGAACAGCAGCGACAACTAGGGTAACTCGACCCTTTCGATTCATTAGAATCATTTCCGTGATAACAAAGAACCCGCACCGCCAGAGGATAATGTCTATACTGGCGTCGACAGGAAACGTTCGCAGTCCATCAGCCAATGGAGTTTCCAAACTGAAATTGTTTCCACGAATGTTCGATTTTTGGGAGCTTTCACGTAGAAAGATCAATGCGAGAGGGCAATAACTCTGGGAATCATGGTGTACACACCGGCCCGGGAATCACCGGGAATTCGCCGAACATTAACATTAAAATTATAATATTAACATCAACATTAAAATGCGAGTGCGCCATACAAAACGTTGACAAAATTGTTTCAAAATTTCAGAAGTAGAGAGTTTGTTTGATAATTAACCGTTGATTTTTCACAGTCCACACTACTTGCCTTCATCGCTGCTGCTTTCAGGCGTGTGTGTGACGGACCCGATGACGATGCTCAAGACGACCGCGACGAGCCGAATCACACAACCGATCGCGGCAATCATTGCCGTTCGCGGTGCACCTGAACATAACTCGACTGCGAGACCAAAAAAAAAAAAAAAAAAAAAAAAAAAAAAAGAAAACATAGACCAGAGAAATAAATACGGCGCGTTTCATGCCGCTTGGGTAAATCGGTTTTCTTTTTCATCCGCACTTTTTACAAACAGCCCAGTGTGCGTCTTTGAGACGGCGGTTGTGTCCCCCATGCGGTGTAGCTGCTTGTCGGGGAGGTGCAGGTCCGGGACGACGGCGACGGCCGTCGAGCTGCCGTCCGCGTACGGCTCCGGTCAGAGCGGTGGGGGCGGCACGGCCAGCACGGCCGCATTTTACGCGCTTGTCCGTAAAGTGCGCACCTCAGGCAGCTCGGCCTGGTGTTGTCACGGGACAGGTATACAGATGAACAACGGCGACGACCGTCTCGTCGGGGAGGGATGAGGAAATTCGTAAAAGGGACGCGCGCGGCGCACTGGCACCACGTCCACAACAACCACCCTCTCTGGGCGCAGCTCAACACGGAACTAGCCAACGACACACGGGCTGCAGGATCCGAGCATCTGTCGGCTGCGCCCAGCGACACTCGACGCCGATAACGAAGCGACATGGTGACGGCGCCTGCGACCCGCCGGGTAGGCCAGCCCGCCTGGCAGCCGTGCGCGGACGGCGGCCCGCCCCGCGCGCCCGAGTCGGCCGGGGGACTTGCTCTCTTACCGTCGCGTCAGCTCCTCGGCGAACGTTCATCGTGCGGGGCAACTACTTTCGAACAGCAGCGGTTTATTTTCCTAGACTCGAGATTCGGAGCAGCAGGAAAAAGACAAGGCCTGGGGAGTTTTCCCCAGGCGTTTTGGTGCTACCAACCTTCGCTCTCAACATCCGCTGCCGTTAGGAAGCAGTGCACTTTGAAAAGTAAGTAAATACGTGTCATGTGAAAACTTCTATTACTCTATCTGAATGGGTTTTAAAAATATTTTTCATATCACTGTAATTTTTGCTCAATCTTACCGATATTTTATATAAAACCAGTAACCAGTAGGTTAAAGAAGTTTGTCAAAAAAGGTAACCAAGGTTTTGTCAATTTCGGTGAATGATATGAACTGTGGTGACGGAAAGGCCTTGACATTTCAATTGTCCCATGTCGAAAAGTCTTTACATTGAACTCGTTCGGCAAGAACAGTCAATGCGCGTGAGCCCAGGACACGTGTGGACATTCGGGTAATCTTGGGTCCTTCTCACTTGTCGCCGCACACTGAGAAGATATATCCACGGCAATCCTGCGCGGTGGGAGAAACATGAGATGAGTCAGTATGGGAGAGAAATGCTTTAATATTTCCTCGGCTTCTTTATACCTACCGACAAGGGGGAAGTGGCCATGATCTCGCACTTACCGAGTTGTTTACAATGTCGAACAAGGCTTCATAGTCTCTATCTGTTTAGGAGGAGGTTTGGTAGGGCAGGATCCATAAAATGACTCCAACTATCCCGGTCGCGACCAGCGCTCCCCCTAATTCTGTAACAAAGTAAAGGGGTCCCAAACGCTGCATCTCATTTCTATACATGACTACGCAGGCAGCTGTTTCAATAACACATACTTTTACAAAGGAAAAACCCGAAGTGCAACTTCCAGTACGCTTCCCTCCACGTCAACGCTCTCCACATAGCCCTCGCTACCAGGCCGCCCTCGTGCTGGTACTGGTGCTGGACGGTGGCCTGAGGCACGGCGGGAGGTTGCTGGCCCTGGACAACGATTCCCTCGAGCTCGACGGGAGGGCACTGGTCCTGGGCGGTGGTCTCCTGGAGCGCGGCGGTGGGTGGGCGCAGGTCCTGGACGGTGGCGGGCAGGGGCGGGTTCGCGATGACGCCGTCCTGGCCCGCGGCGGCGGGTGGTTGCCGGCCCTGCCTGCCCGTCGCCGTCAGTGCTGGAGGATTGCTGGCAGTCAAGGCCAGGGTGACCTGGCTGCCGGGGGCCGCGTGGACGTGGGTGTGCGTGCCGCCGATGTGCACGTCCGAGGAGCCCTCCACCGCGACGCCCCGCAGCGCCCCCGCCGTCGTCGCGACGACCGCGTCGTCGTCGAGGTCCGACGCCACGCTGCCGGCGCTGGTGCTCCAGGTGTCGGCACTGTCATTGTCTTCATCGCGACGGTCAGGGAGACCTCCGTGAGCGCAGGCACCGCCGTCCGCGGGCACGACGGCGAGGTGCTCGCTCCGCGCGGTGTCGGAGGACGACGGTGTCTTGGGCGGTCTCGACGGCGGCATTGTAGAAGACGCCTAGGATGTGACGAACACCCCACACTGTAAAAAAAATCCATCTTAATTTTAATAACACATGTTTTGAAGCAGTTTACAAAACAAATTTACTCTTAAATTTAAGAACAACAAGTTTCTTAAAATTCAAAACATGTTTTGAAAATTAAGAACGTGTTATGAAACGCCAAAAATGCTTTTCTTTTCCAACCTTACGCAAATCTGGAAAATATTT